CCCCAAAACCCCAAAACCCCAAAACCCCAAAACCCCAAAACCCCTCGAGTGATGTGATCGATTGACAAAGATCGAAATTATAATTTTTTAATAAGGGCAATAGGACAAAGATGTAGTCACACTTTGAAGATTCCTCGAGCTGATGCTCAGGATTGCCCATGCAGACAACTTCAGAAGAAAGAAGACCGAAGCCAAGAACCCAAAAAAGTCCAGGACTTCTTCAGGAGGCAAGCGAAATTAAGGAAAAGACCAAGGAGATGCACAGTCCACAGTTCACCAAGGATCAAGCCCAAGGCCATGCCAGAGACCGAGAATTAGCCATGAAAGGGAACAGGAGGTCATAGGTCAAGGAAACAAGCTCAGGAACAGGAATTGACAGGAATTCAGACAAGTGAGACCTACAGAGATGTACGAGAACAGCCTGAAGATGCTCTAGCTCATAGAAGCTCCCAACTTCATTGGCAACGTAAGTACATGTTATGTTTCAGCGTCAAGCGAAGGGCTTGGAGCGCCAAACACCGAAGATTTCAGAAGGATTCTTGATTTCAAAGAGATACTTTGAGGTAGTAGACTCATGGAAGATAGCCCAACGGAAGAATCTCAGACCAGTCAACAAGATGGTACAGGAAGATAGCTCAAGTGGCCAACAAGCGCAAGATCAAAGAATCCGGTCAAAACTCCCAGAAATTTCAGAAAAACTGAAGACTTGCTTAGGTTAGGACTAGACAACAATGGAGGAAGCTGAGGTACTAGAAGTTACAAGAGAAACGACTGAACAAACTTGGAGGAAGAACTAGACAACAGGATAGTCAAAGGATGGTCTAACTGCAACTGAAGAACTCGAGAAAATCGTTTCTTCCGCACAGATGGTGCTTCTAATAGCCTTGTTCCTAATAGAACTTGCCCCCGGTCTTATGGAATTTCCACACATTAGAAGATTCTTTGCTATTTTAAGATCTTAACTAACTTTGCGCAAGGAGTCAAAGAATTATTATAATTAGGATATGATAATTTTTCTGCTCCCAACATCTGTTGGTGAGTATGGGGTTTTGGGGTTTTGGGGTTTTGGGGTTTTGGGGTTTTGGGGTTTTGGGG